ATGTTATGCCTCTCGTGAAGAAAGTGAACGTGGCGGTGAAGGCAGTGATGAAATAAGCAACATTCTTACTAAAAGTATAAATATTGAACAAATTTTAGAATTTCTTAAGACAAAAAAAAAAAAAAAAAAAATTACAATTACAAAATAGTTTTATTAACAAACCTAGTTTTGAAATAATCTCAGTTATCTCAATTTTGCATATGTATAATACATGTACTCTCCATTATAATTGTTTATAACAAAAAAATAACGCTAATAACGAAATGAATCTCCCTAACTCTACATCTACAATGCAGAAATCATGTTACGCAATTTGGATGTGCTGACCAATGAAGAGGGGGTTTAACAGCCATAACACAACATGCACCCGACTTGGCGAAAAAAATAAGTAAAGTCTTAGTGAGTCGCGATGCATTAACCCAAACCTCTAGAGGCATTTGTTATTTACACTTTGAAAGTTTAGTGGATTCAATGAATATGCACAATTTATTGAGTACCTTAGAACCGCCATTAAAAATTGACAATAAAGAAGGTAATCTAATACGGTTTTAACAACATTAACCTTATTAATATAATATAAAACATGAATTTTAATTTCAGTTATAATAACTTATTGCATTGATCATGAAAATCGTCAAATTGTACCCAAGAAACCAGATGCTTCGTCATCTTCAACTGCTTCCCACTGCGAATACATCATCTATAGGTCCTTTAACGGCAGCAGAAATGGCTTCTGTTTCATCAGGTGGTTCGGGCGAATATACATTAGCTGATGTTCCTCGTTTAGCTGAGTACAGTGCTTCTATGTATGCTAGTACACCAGCAGAACATGCTCATTATTTACAATACTATACGGAATATTATATCGGAAATTACTAAAGGCTCTTATGGTAATTTACCAACAGACACCCAAATGACCGAAGCTAATTCGGGAGCTGCTGTAGCCTTATCGGCCATACAACGAAAACAAAGAAAAATGAATAGTATTGAGACTACTGCTACCGCGGCTGCAGTAGCTGCGGCAACAGCTGCAGCGGCGGCTAAAGCTTCATTGGCAGCTCGCACCATTGTAACACCGAAGGGAAATGATGGCAAAATTTATCGTAAGTAAAAAGTTATTTTTTATTAATTTTTCACACCCGCCCAGTGACACATGTTTTATGCACTTCTGTTGATTTAAAACTAAATTTAACAATATTTTATCATCATTGTTAAATGACCATTGACTAAAGAATAATACAACAATGAAAACTTTCGTTAACATTAATTGAATATAACATTATGAAATAAGATGGATAGGATTTAAATTCGAGTCTGAAATAATTTATCATTTGTGAATAACATAGAGCAAATGGGTTTTTGGTACTTTTTAGAAATTCGTACATTTATGTCAGGGATCGGCAGACATATACTACCACATTTTGCACTTGTATAAGTGTAAGAGCGAAAAAACAAGAAATGAGTAATAGTTGTACTCTCACTTTCACAACAAGGCAGGCTTACTACAGGTCGCAATTTTTTAGATAATTCAATGAAATTTGGCACATGATCTTTTATCGTATCGTGGACGAAGCCTATTGAAAATGGTTAACATCGGTCCATTATTTCACCTAGCCCCCATACAACTGAACCCCTCGAATAGGGCTTTTAAAACTTGTAATCAAACTACAGGTCGCAATTTTGGATATAATTCAATGAAATTTGGCACATAACCTTTTATGGTACCGTAAATGAAGCCTGTTGAAAATGGTTTACATCGGTACATTATTTCACCTAGCCCCCATACAACTGAACCCCTCGAATAGGGCCTTTAAAAGTTGTAATCAAACTACAGGTCGCAATTTTGGAGATAATTCAATGAAATTTGGCAGATTATCTTTTATGGTATCGTAGACGAAGCATATTGAAAATGGTTAACATCGGTTCATTATTTCACCTAGCCCCCATACAACTGAACCCTCCGAATAGAGCTTTTAAGTTCATAATTATGTTTAATATACTCATATCTCGACAAAAATCTGCAAAAACCAAGTTGTATACAAGACTTGATGACCCCCACGAATTCCATTATAATAGGTTCTGATATGACCCTAGCCCCTATGAAAAGCTCCCATCAAAATTTCACTTAAATGTCCACAATTTTATTCAACAATAAACTGCTTAAGTATGTATATCTAAGGCAAGGTACAATTCAACTTAAATGCTTTATTATGGCAACTAAATCACATTATATTTTTGTCAAAGGTGTAGGGTATTATATGGTCGGCCTGGCCCGACTATAATTTCTTACTTGTTTTCATTGCAAAAGCAAGAAACGAGCGACAACACAACCTCCTTCAATGACAGCTCATATGAGACTGAATTGTGTTTTCTATGCGTGTGAGTAGTCTGTGTAAATTTAGTAACGGTCAAAATACACAGTGTATAGGAGTTGCCGATCGTGGATTTATGTACATATATGTGTAGCAAAGATGATTTTGGTATTTATTTTTGGCCCTTTAAACTTTATAATTAATACCTATCAAAAATATCAGACACCAATTTCGTACTTTTTAGTTAGTTAAAATGGAGGAAGTATTTTACATCAAATGCGAAGAAATACACCTAGGCGTCATCGGGGTTGTTGTGCGCTCCTTTGCTAGTTTTATAGTTTATATTTTATGTTTGAATTGCAATAAGTGAAATGATCAAGTGAAAAGAGTTTTTAACAGTGTTAACAGTTAAATGAGCAAATTTTATTAAAATTCAGACTCCAGAAAATTGGCAATTTAGAAATACGTTAGGAGTTCTTTACAAAATCGAACTAATAAAGAAGATCAAATTGGCCGATGAGAACACTCGATTAATGGGGGAAGACCTATGTAACAACACTAACTATTGAGGACAAATTTCATATAAACCACAACAGCGGACTGAAATTTTGAAACATTTTATCATTTAACAAACTCATACACACTTTTGAGAACCAAACGCCTCATTAAATTATCTCACATATCCTCTACTAGCTACAACCCGATGTTTCTTTATATCAGTATGATGAGACATCTGGTTATTATTATGACCCCACCACTGGTCTATACTATGATGCACATTCACAATACTATTACAACAACGAAACGGGGGCATATCTTTATTGGGATCAACGTAAAAGTTCATATGTACTAGCCACACCAGCTGCAGCAGCGGCCACAATACAAGATGTTGTCAAACAAGAAACAGATACGGAAGCTAAGACAAACACAGCAGCAGATGAAGATGCTAGCAAAAAAGAGAAAAAAGAAAGTGGTAGTGGCAATAAACACGATAAAGTTAAAGTAGCCAAAAAAATTGTTAAAGACATGGAAAAGTGGGCTAAACAATTGAATCAAAAGAAAGATTACACTGTCGTGGCTACACCTCAGCCAATATTGAATAATAATAGAACCGAAGATGCAATACGACCCTCAACATCAGCTGGCATATCAAGTGGTTATGCGGATTTAGGTTTTTCAATATTAGAAAAGAAAACCACAAAATTAAATGCCTCCAATACGTTTATGTCACCTATGAGTTTGGGTACAGCGGCCAACAACAAGTTGATACCCTCTTATGGTTCGGATTCTGATGAGGATAATATACCACCACCTCCGCCATCAGCCAAAGTCAGCAGTTCAGCATCTGCTGGGGATACATGTGAAAAGGATTATGTTGATTTTCAAAAACTCACCTGTCTGCTGTGTAAAAGAGCTTTTCAATCTTTGGAGATTTTACAAAAACATTTAAAGATGTCCAATCTGCATAAAGAAAATTTAGCAAAACATAACCTAGAAAGAGGATTAACGGTGCAGCAACAACAACAGCAGCAACAGGCTGAACAAGATTCACTAACAGCTGCTTTATCGTAAGTGTTTTTTTTTGTGAGGAATTAATTTTAAATTAATTTTTAAATATTTAAATGAAATGTGTAATTAGATACCGTGATCGTGCCAAAGAAAGAAGACTTAAGTATGGTGAAAGTGATCCTCCGCCACCAAATCGTAGTCGCGAGCGTTTTGAAAAAGAAATTAATAATCTAACTTCACGCCAAAAACAAAAGGAATCACCAGCCATGCCCATAGGTTCGAATAATGTAGGTAATCGTTTATTGCAAAAAATGGGATGGTCCGAGGGTCAAGGTCTAGGACGCAAAAATCAAGGACGTACAAATATTATTGAGGTTTGTAATGACATGTATAACAAAATCAATTTAAAGCCGTAATTTCTGCTGTTCTTTCAGGCAAACGCTCGTAATACTAATGCTGGCTTAGGAACAAAATCAGGCATTGGTCCCGGCGATGATTACAAGTCCTACATTAAGAAAATGATGAAGTCTCGTTATGAATCAGTGTGATTTTTCTTCTTTTTTTCTATTTATTAATTAAGTTGTTTCATAAATTAAATAGTTAAGTAATCTTTTTTTATAATTTAACATTTGCTTTGTTTAATTTAATTTTGTTTTAAGAGACTTTTTTATTTGTACAAAAAAACGCCGTAACAATCTTGTTGAATATTTTAGTATAGAAAATATTCTAAGTAAAAATAAATTTTGAATTATTTACTAAAACAATGAATGTTATTTAATCTGTTTTCCATAATAGAAAGATAGAGAATCAAAGGTAATTTTAATAGAGAAAGTGAGTTCGAATCAAAGTCAATTTTTCTATAGAAAATTATTTCAAATCGAGGCCAATTTTATGTAGGAAATAAATTTGAATCGAAGTATATTTCATATAGATAACAATCTTGAATCGGAATCAATTTTCTTATGTAGGAAATATATATTAAATAAATGCCAATTTTTATACAAAAAGTGATTTCGAATCTAATTCGTACCTGGGACGCTTGTTTACAAATTAATGAACTTCTTTACAAGAAAGTTGACAGCACTGTTGCGAAACGAAACAATGGCACCGCGTTATCGGCATCATCTGTTTTTCTTTTATGATCACACTTCATAATGAATACTTCATAAAAAAGAAGAAGCATTCATAATTTTTTTGACAACTAAATTAAATTTCATCTTGTGCTGTTGGCTGATTGATTTTGGTGCTTTAAATGCTGATGCTGATTGTTTTTGAGAAAATGTCAAGACTTTTGGACATTTTAATGTATTAAAGAGGAAAAATAAAATCTTTTGCTGCAAATAACATTTTCTCCTAAACAAATGCTGAAAAACATGTTGAAAACTTTTCAACGTCCACAGAGTAGTACGATAAAACCACAAAAGTGACATTAACCCAAAAACCCCGTGTGATAGTAGTTGAGCAAAAGTGATAAGTTAACAACAGAGCAAAGAATAGACAACATAAAAATGAAGTTGGTTAGTAAAAATATGGATAAAGGAGGTCAAGGGTAAGTGTCCTAAAAACTACAACTTATGTAAGAAGTATAAGCAGTTGACTTCTCTTACAGCTCCGTGATCCTGATACCCGAAGAATCTGAGGACATGTGGCATGCATATAATCTGATATCTGAGGGCGATAGTGTGCGCAGTACCACCATACGTAAGGTGCAAAATGAAACGGCCACTGGCTCCAGTACTAGTAGTCGCGTGCGTACCACTTTAACCATAACCGTCGAATCAATAGATTTCGATACTCAGGCTTGTGTTTTACGTTTGAAGGGACGTAATATCGAGGAAAATCAATATGTGAAAATGGGTGCCTATCATACCCTAGATTTAGAGCTGAATCGGAAGTTTGAATTACGCAAACCAGAATGGGATTCTATAGCGTTAGAACGCATTGATATGGCATGTGATCCTACACAATCGGCTGATGTTGCAGCCGTAGTCATGCAGGAAGGTCTAGCCCATGTTTGTCTCATAACACCCAGCATGACGTTGGTACGCAGTAAAATCGAAGTGAATATACCGCGCAAACGAAAAGGCAACATACAGCAACACGAAAAGGGTCTGGCCAAATTTTATGAAAGTGTTATGCAAGGCATATTGAGGCATGTCAACTTTGAGGTAGTCAAGTGTGTACTTATAGCTTCGCCCGGCTTTGTTAGGGACCAATTTTTTGAGTATATGTATCAACAGGCTGTTAAAACCGATAACAAAGTGTTGCTGGACAACAAAAGCAAATTTATGCTCGTACACTCTTCGTCTGGCTTCAAACATGCTCTTAAAGAGGTGCTGCAAGAGCCAGCAGTAATGTCGAAAATCTCCGACACCAAGGCGGCCGGTGAGGTAAAAGCTTTAGAACAATTCTACACCATGTTACAGTGTGAACCGGCCAAGGCATTTTATGGCAAAAAACATATACTTATGGCTGCCGATAGCATGGCTATAGAGACTTTACTCATCTCTGATAATCTGTTTCGTTGTCAAGACGTTCAACAGCGCAAGGAATATGTTCAACTGGTGGAAAATGTACGTGACGCGGGTGGAGATGTGAAAATATTTTCCAGTATGCATATTTCGGGTGAACAATTGGCTCAATTGACCGGCATAGCCGCCTTGTTGCGTTTTCCTATGCCCGAACTGGAAGAGGACTCAGACGATGAGGGCGACAATGGTGCAGCTGACTCAGATTCGGATTAAGAGATTGCGCGAGTGCTTTACTTTAATTAAGTGCTGTAAAATAATTTAAATAAGGGATTTTTTCTATTCATTACTAAGTTTATAAACTCGCATGAACTTACATTAGTTGCAGGTTTTTATATACATAAACAATTTTTTTAGCTATTAACGATATTTAAATTTAAAGAAAAAAATAAAATAAAAGTAAATTTATACATATTCGTAAATAAAAAATAATGAAATAAAACAACAATCAAAAGCCGTAATAAAAATATTTAAATTGCCAAAAGAATGTGTTTGCAAACTATTAATTTGAAGAACATTTAGCTTAAATACGTAAAAACTGAACATATGTTATAAACATGACGTTTCGTTTGTATTATGTAATTCGAAAATTTCATAGAAGTTCAAAATCCATTGGAAATTTCTACAATTGTGTACCATTGTGTGTTTGTATACTCCTAAAATAAATTTAACAAATTTGATAATTTCTCACTAAAGAACTCATAATTTTGTTAAAAATAATTAAATCGAATCAAATCTACCGGTATTATTTACTAAAACAATAAACCTATTTAATAACTTATTTTTCATTGTCCATTGCATCTGGCAATCTCTTTTAATATGGAAGTACATAAGTAAGGGTAATGCAGGAATCAACGTTAGTTTTTAACACTGCTATAACTGTTTTGAAGATAATATGGTTAATGAATGAAGATAATGCGGTTTTCCGTTATGGATATAAGAACTCAAAAAATCAAATCTATACGAACTGATATTTGTGTTACTATTTTAAATTTTATCTCCGATATTGTTAATGTGGTAAATTAAAACAAATTCTTATACTAACTAACTAACTAACTAACTAACTAACTAACTAACTAACTAACTAACTAACTAACTAACTAACTAACTAACTAACTAACTAACTAACTAACTAACTAACTAACTAACTAACTAACTAACTACTAACTAACTACTAACTAACTAACTAACTAACTACTAACTAACTAACTAACTAACTACTAACTAACTACTAACTAACTAACTAACTAACTAACTAACTAACTAACTAACTAACTAACTAACTAACTAACTAACTAACTAACTAACTAACTAACTAACTAACTAACTAACTACTAACTAACTAACTAACTAACTAACTAACTAACTAACTAACTACTACTAACTAACTAACTAACTAACTAACTAACTAACTAACTAACTAACTACTAACTACTAACTAACTAACTAACTAACTAACTACTAACTAACTAACTAACTAACTAACTAACTAACTAACTAACTAACTAACTAACTAACTAACTAACTAACTACTAACTAACTAACTAACTAACTAACTAACTAACTAACTAACTAACTAACTAACTAACTAACTAACTAACTAACTAACTACTAACTAACTAACTAACTAACTAACTAACTAACTAACTAACTAACTAACTAACTAACTAACTAACTAACTAACTAACTAACTAACTAACTAACTAACTAACTAACTAACTAACTAACTAACTAACTAACTAACTAACTAACTACTAACTAACTAACTAACTAACTAACTAACTAACTAACTAACTAACTAACTAACTAACTAACTAACTAACTAACTAACTAACTAACTAACTAACTAACTAACTAACTAACTAACTAACTAACTAACTAACTAACTAACTAACTAACTAACTAACTAACTACTAACTAACTAACTAACTAACTACTAACTAACTAACTAACTAACTAACTAACTAACTAACTAACTAACTAACTAACTAACTAACTAACTACTAACTAACTAACTAACTCTAACTAAACTACTACTAACTAACTAACTAACTACTAAAACTAACTAACTAACTAACATAACTAACTTAACTAACTAACTAACTAACTAACTAACTACTAGAACTAACTAACTAACTAACTAACTAACTAACTAACTAACTAAACGAACTAACTAACTAACTAAACTAACTAACTAACTAACTAACTAACTAACTAACTACTAACTAACATAACTAACTAACTAACTACCTAACTAACTAACTAACTAACTAACTAACTAACTAACTAACTAACTAACTAACTAACTAACTAACTAACTAACTAACTACCTAACTAACTAACTAACTAACTAACTAACTAACTAACTAACTAACTAACTAACTAACTAACTAACTAACTAACTAACTAACTAACTAACTAACTAACTAACTAACTAACTAACTAACTAACTAACTACTAACTACTACTAACTAACTAACTACTAACTAACTAACTAACTAACTAACTACTACTAACTAACTACTAACTAACTAACTAACTACTAACTAACTAACTACTAACTAACTAACTACTAACTAACTAACTAACTAACTACTAACTAACTAACTAACTTAACTAACTAACTAACTCACTAACTAACTAACTAACTAACTAACTACTAACTAACTAACTACTAACTACTAACTAACTAACTAACTAACTAACTACTAACTAACTAACTAACTAACTAACTACTAACTAACTACTAACTACTAACTAAACTAACTAACTAACTAACTACTAACTAACTAACTAACTAACTAACTAACACTAACTAACTACTACTAACTAACTAACTAACTAACTACTAACTAACTAACTAACTAACTACTAACTACTAACTAACTACTAACTAACTAACTAACTACTAACTAACTAACTAACTACTAACTAACTACTAACTAACTAACTAACTAACTAACTACTAACTAACTAAACTAACTAACTAACTAACTAACTAACTAACTAACTAACTAACTAACTAACTAACTAACTAACTAACTAACTAACTAACTAACTAACTAACTAACTAACTAACTAACTAACAACTAACTAACTAACTAACTAACTAACTAACTACTAACTAACTAACTAACTAACTAACTAACTAACTAACTAACTAACTAACTAACTAACTAACTAACTAACTAACTAACTAACTAACTAACTAACTAACTAACTAACTAACTAACTAACTAACTAACTAACTAACTAACTAACTAACTAACTAACTAACTAACTAACTAACTAACTAACTAACTAACTAACTAACTAACTAACTAACTAACTAACTACTAACTAACTAACTAACTAACTAACTAACTAACTAACTAACTACTAACTAACTAACTAACTAACTAACTAACTAACTAACTAACTAACTAACTACTAACTAACTAACTAACTAACTAACTAACTAACTAACTAACTAACTAACTAACTAACTAACTAACTAACTAACTAACTAACTAACTAACTAACTAACTAACTAACTAACTAACTAACTAACTAACTAACTAACTAACTAACTAACTAACTAACTAACTAACTAACTAACTAACTAACTAACTAACTAACTAACTAACTAATACATATATGTATACATACATATATACATTTTTGACATTGTACCCCTTTACAAATCCCATCACTGCAAAAGTTTCATAAATGATCTCAGAAAGCTTAACTTCACTCATTTACAAAAAAAGCTTTCCATCAAAAATAAATGACCCTCTCTTGAAGAGTGGGAGGGGGTGTAGTGAGGAGAATTAAAACAGCTGTTAAACTCATTTTTAAAAGATACAAGTATTTTGGGGATATCTGCCCATCTAGACACAGTGATACTAAACAAATTTGCGTCAGAACCGTGCGCGCTCTCCACACGAACGAACCTCTTGCACAAAACGATCTAGACTTTTTGCGCTAAATTGTCTTCTTCAGCTTTTTTTTGTTATTGAAAAATACAAAAAGAAATAAATATTTTTCAAATCCCTTTTAAAACGTAAAGTGAGTGTATGATTTTTGCTATATGTATAAAATAAACGTATAGATGTGTGTATCTGAAAAGTATATATAAAAATATAAAGTATTTTTAACGTGTTTGTTTAAAAAGAAAATTAATTGAGAAAAACCAAAAAAACAACAAGAAAATACAATTAAACGTGGGCCGCTAGAAAAAAGCAATAATAAGAAAAAAAAAAAAAAAAAAACGTGTGAAAAAGTAAGAAAATTAAAAATAAAAATTGTCAAATTTTAGAAAAATCTAATGGCTGTGTTTTTCCATACAAAATATTAAAAGTGTTAATTTTCAAAATTTTTTTTTATTCAATATTAAATGTGTTTTTCTTTTAAATTTATATTTTTTCGACTTTTTAATAAAAAAAAACTAAGAGGGAGAGCAACAAACGAAAGAAATGAAAGAGCGAGCAGAGTGTTTTATTGATATGAGTGCATAAAGCTCTTTTACAATATGTTTGTTGTTTTTTTTTTCTATATACAGTTTTTTTGTACATATCTTTTTTTGGAAATATTATTATTAATTAAATCACCTTCAAAATATACATAAAATATTAAAAATACCAATAACACCAGCAACAACAATACAAACACAGATTTGTACATATTTAAAAACAAATATTGAAATAGAAAACAGAAAAAAAAAAATAAATTTGAAATAAAAATCAAGATCGTCATTGTGTCTGCTTTACCATATGTGGTCAATAGAATCGAAAACAAAATCTTATATGAAAACATAAAAAAACAAAATTAAAAAACTCTCTTTTAGGTTTTAAAACTGTTTAAAAACAAGTCAAAACAAAAACAACAACTGTTAGAGTGCCAACACAATGTTTACATACAATAAATGTTTATAAACATTCAAATCAAACGAACGTATACTTAATTTTGTTACAGTTTTTTTTTTTTATTGTAATCTAATTTTTTTTATCAATATTGTGTTGTTTTAGATAATTTTGTATATTCATAAGTAAAATAATTTCTTTTTTTTTAATTTTTTTTGTAAATTTTTATTTTTGTTTCAATGTGTTTTTCCTTATGCCGCCGCCTCAATCAATTTTCATCAAACCGCATATTTTCAACACAAAATTAATTTGTTTCTGCGTTTGATTTTACATAAGGTAAGAAAATGTTTATTTTATACAAGAAAAAAGAAAAAAATTGTTTAATACAAGTATATTTATCTTATAATTATATAAATGAAGTTAGTTTGTTTACGGCATAACAACTGAACCGTTATAAAGAGGGAACTATAGGTTATTTCCGACCACGATTAGATGTGAAGCTCCTTTATTACAACCACCATAAAAAAGAGGGTATATTCTTTTTGTCATTCCATGTGTAACACATCCTCAGCTCACAGACCCTAGATTGTAGTATATATGTATGTAAATTCTGGGTCCTTGTAAGATTCTAAGATGATCTATTTATGTCCGCCCGTTTGTCTGTTGTTGCTACATTAGCATCCACAATAAAAGAGCTAGGAATATGAAATTTTCCAAAACAGAACATTTTTCTAAAATGGTCAAAATCGGTAAACGATTTCACTTAGGAATGATACAAATGAACCTCTTAATAATACAGTTTTATCTATTGGCTAGTTCACATACTAGTCTATGACCTAGCCTATTCACTAGTTTAGCCTATGGACGAGTCTATGTACTAGTTTATTTTCTAGTCTATGAGCTAATCTATTGACTAGTCTATGGACAAGTCTATGTACTAGTGTATAGACTAGTCTATATACTAACAATGGACTAATGTATAGTCGTCCATTTACTAGTCTACCATCTAGTCTATAGAAAAGTTTTGTCTAGTCTATTCAGTGCCTATGGACTAGTCTATAGACAAGTGTATGTATCTAGTCTATTGAGTAGTCTATAAATTAGCATATGGTAGTCCATAGGTAGTCTATTTACCAGTCTGTGGACTAGTCTATGTAAAATGCAACAAAAAATACTTTTTGAATTCATTATTCAATATTTTAAACTCTGTAGGGTTTGGTCCATAATTGACTCAAGCCATTAAACTCTCATAAAATACGATTAAAATATATTTTTTTCTTGTTTATGTTTAATTTTATTATTGTTTTAAACCAGCTATGGTCGTAAAATTAGCATTCAGAAGGGAAGATTCAAATGTGGACCGATGTTTGATATTCCATACAGTATAATTTCGATTACTACAAAACCCATATATTCATATGTATAGGACTTTTTCAACCAAGAGGCTGGGACACTTATATAAAGTCTAGATGAAATCGTAAACCGATATTGCCGAACGTTTTGTGGTTCTACGACCAGTATTCCGATGTGTTACAAATAGCATACGAATCGGTAAACGATTTCACTTAGGAATGATACAAATGAACCTCATAATACAGTTTTATCTATTGGCTAGTTCACATACTAGTCTGTAACCTAGCCTATTCACTAGTATAGCCTATGGACGAGTCTATGTACTAGTTCATTTTCTAATCTATGAGCTAATCTATTGACTAGTCTATGGACAAGTCTATGTACTAGTCTACGTACTAGTGTATAGACTAGTCTATATACTAACAATGGACTAATGTAAATTACTAGTCTACCATCTAGTCTATAGACAAGTTTTGTCTAGTCTATTCAGTGTCTATGGACTAGTCTATAGACAAGTGTATGATCTAGTCTATTGAGTAGTCTATAAATTAGCGTATGGTAGTCCATAGGTAGTCTATTTACCAGTCTGTGGACTAGTCTATGTAAAATGCAACAAAAAAATACTTTTTGAATTCATTATTCAATATTTTAAACTCTGTAGGGTTTGGTCCATAATTGACTCAAGCCTTTAAACTCCTAACACTTAAGTGTCGTTCAATCGTTTAGAGAAGTATATTTTGGTGTCAGGTTTAAACATTTGTTGACCTGTGTTATGAACCGATTTTCATAAAATACGATTAAATATATTATTTTCTTGTTTATGTTTAATTTTATTATTGTTTTAAAAACCAGATCGTAAAATTAGCATGCAGAAGGGAAGATTCAAATGTGGACCGATGTTTGATATTCCAGACAGTATAATTTCCCATATATACATACATATGTATAGGACTATTTCAACCAAGAGGTCGGGATACTTGTATAAAGTCTAGGTGAAATCGTAAACCGATATTGCCGATCGTATTTCCAACAGACCGACCGATGGACATTGCTCAGAATCTAATAAATTGTTTTGTGGTTCTATGACCAGTATTCCGATGTATTACAAATAGCATACGAAAATCAATATACAAATTTCCATATTTTGCTTCTAATAGGTGTCCAATAATTAAGAACTGTAAACATTCAAATTTTCCATCAATATTTAAAACCGAAATATTTCAAAATGAAAGCTAAATATAGAAAATAACAAAATTCATTAAGGGCTTCGTTTCCCGTTTTTTATCAGTCGGAAACTAAATATTATAAGAAACTTTCTTCATTTCGGGAAACCCAAATAACACCGGGTACAAACAACTATTATTAGAGTTGGATACACACGAATTCTTTTTTAAAATTAGATGCTCAGACATCTTACATTAACCACTATAGTAGTGCGGAATATCAAAATTATACTTAATCTCCTTCAAAATATTCAACATTACCTACTATAGGGTATTTTCTATAAACATTTTACTTTTGGTCTACTTACGCCAGTTCCTCTTTAGCCTTTAGCATATATTTATTATACAATTATATATATATTTTTTTTAAATTTTTCATGGTTTCATATCTTTAAATATAAAAGTGTATTTTTAGCACAAAGTTTTGGTTATTTTTGTTTAAAAAAATTTTGTGTTTCCTTTGAAAATTTTCGTGTGAATTTTTCTTCTTGTATTTTTGAAAATTTTTTATATAGATTTTTTTTTGTGTGTTTTTCTTAAAATTTCTATGGAACATTTGAAAAGAACTTGAAATTGTTGTTATGTTGTCAGACACCCATACAAATATATAAATTTACGAGTATAAATATAAAATAGATATTTCACAAATGTTATTTTGTTTTTGTATAGAAAAATTTTTGTATTTTTTCGATATTTTCTTATTTATAGGGTGTGTATGGGGTTATTTATCGTTACTAATTTATTTACTTTTTTTTTTGCAAAAAAAAAAAAAAAAACACTAATATTTAATTGTAGTTTTAATAATGATGCAACAATTAATAACTTGTATTAATACGTGTACTGAGAAGAAGAAAAAGAAATAGAAAATAAAATGTGATTTGTGATTAATTTGTTTATTTATAAAAGGAAAATATTTGTTTCATAGTGATTATTTGCAAAATTTAATAAACAAAATAATGACTATAGATCGTTCTACGACCATCAATATCGACTAACCTAAGGCCTGGAATATAGATATGTATATAGTCTAGAATTTTAATATGTCTATAGACCAGTCCTGACTATAGATCAGTCTATATTCTTGACCTTATATCAGTCTATAGTCTGCACTATAGGTCAGTCTATAGTCTTCACTATAGATCAGTCTATAGTCTTGACTACATATCAGTCTATAGATCAGTCTATAGTCATGACTTTAGATCTGTCTATTGTCTTGACTATAGATTAATCTATAATCTTGACTATAGACCAGTCTATAGTCTTGACTATAGATCAGTCTATAGTCTTGACAATAGATCAGTCTATAGTCTTGACAATAGATCAGTCTATAATCTTGACTATTATAGATCAGACTATAGTCTTGACTACAGATTAGTATATAGTCTTGACTATAGACCAGTCTATAGTCTTGACTATAGATCAGTCTATAGTCTTGATTATAGATCATTATTTGCCTTAGATCAGTCTATAGTCTTCACTATAGGTCAGTCTATAGTCTTGACTATAGATCAGTCTATAGTCTTGACAATAGATCAGTTTATAGTCTTGACTATAGATCAGTCTATAGTCTTGACTATAGATCAGTCTATAGATCAGTCAATAGTCATGACTTTAGATCTGTCTATCGTCC